AGGCAATTATAACATGATGTTGACCCGGGTCAAACCCGGGTCAATTAAATCATGACCCGACCCGTTTCGGAGCTCTAAACAAGTGATCCAAAACTTTTGTCCAGGTACTGTATTATAATCTGCAAGATCATTGTCTCTTTCAAATGATTCCACACTAAGAAAAAGAACTTGAATGTAAGACATAAGAAGGTAGGGAAAACACATTTATCAAATGGTTCTTACAGGAAGTTCAAATAGTCCCATATGAATTTTGTAGTATTGTTGACTCGTGTTTTCATGTAGCTCTCATCCACATAGTTACGAAAATTTTTCTTCTATATTCCAAAATATTAATTAGTTAAGAGAGTTTGAACAAAGCAACAAAATATTTTGCATTAGGGATCATGTATTTACGTGGAACTAACAATACCTTAATAAAATCAATGATATAATCTTTCATTCCATCTATATTGTCCATATTAGGTGTTGACAATGATTTTGACCGTCTTATTTCACGTACTACATCACGAGGTAGTGATTGTACGAAACCACTATTCGAACCTGGTGAAATATCTATGATGTCATAGAATGCTAGACTAAAATTTCCCAACATCAGTACCATCAGTACACCAGATATGTTCAAACTCATCGTATCTTAAACACATTTACAAAAATACTTACTCAGTGCGTGGTTGAACTCTTTCTTGCTTCCATTTTGTTAATGAATTATGTAGTGATGTTAGCCGTTTAAAAATCCTTAGCCGGCTAAGCCGTTTACTACCTAAATTGGTAATTCTATTTCTATAACCAGAAGGTAATACGGAAATCTATTGCCAAATTTAGAAATTATGTATGCAGATTATTAGCCGGCTAACATCACTAGAATTATGTACATCAGTATCGTATATAATCCATTTCTTTCCATCATTTCGAATGGTTTCCTTGGCATACACTTCCAGTTCACCATCCTTGTTGTCCATCCTATTTAAACATCAATAAGAATTATTGCTTCATAGTTGTCAGTGTAAATAATTATGGTACCTCTCTTCATCTCTTAAGCTATCTTTAGATGCCAATTCATCATCATCATCATCCTGGTGATCATCATCTTCAGTCTGATAATTATCATTTTTAATCTGGCAATCATCATTGTCAGAGGAATTTTCGACCTCCTGGTCCTAATTGTATTGCAAAGAGTAATCAATTTGGATTTGTTAGTGGCCAATCTTGAGATCATATTTCCAGAAACAATAAAACCAATCAAAGTCTTCACCCCATCAATTCTGACGCGTTTTGCTGATGGCATATCCTGTAGTAGAAATTTAAACCTTTTTTAAGTATACCTATTACAAGCCCTTTATTTGATTCTGAAGAGTAATACCTTACCTTGTTTTGCGCAAATGTATTTATCTCCTCATGAATATTAAGGTTTGTACTATGTATAGAACGGTGAACTAAAATCTATATACAAATTTTTATCAATATTAAACCCGTCTATCTAAAAGTCAGCAACTGGACATACCACTGTTTTCTGTTGCATCCAGGTTTCCCAGTCAAATAGAATCCCTCCTTCCTATCAAAAAGGAGCATAGAGTTAAAGTACTTTACAATATGACAAAAAAAAATCACATTCAATTACATACATCCACAGTTTCTTTCATTTTTTTGAGATTACTCTGCAGTCCATGATTATCAGTTTCGCTCAAAGCCAGATCAAGTGCTTGGTAATATTTTTCAGTTGCTCGAACACGATGTGTTGGAACTATATATTGAAAAAATGCAAGCGGAGTTGGATTGGGACAACTTAACATCCAGTTAACGTGACATTCTTGCATAGTTACATTAGCACACGAGGAATTCTTTTTTCCCATCATCAGCTTAATATTAAGAAATAGAAAAAAAAAAAAATATCTTGTTGAACAAAGCAAATGAGGTAAACATTAAAGTATGTTGTTCTTCAAATAAGGCCGGCCACCCGCTAGATGATGACTCACCATTACTGGCTTCCGACAGTATCCCTCTGTCGCAGACGCCTTATGTTGCTTAATAACATCTAATAACTTTTGTGCAATGAAGTTAGCCGGCCACCCACTAGATGATGACTTGCCACTGCTGGCTTCCGACAGTATCCCTCTGTTGCAGACGCTTCCTTCTTGCTTAACAAAATTATTGTCTATAAAGTGAATGAAATAGTTACTCAACCCACCTGACTAATTGATTTGTAAGTTGTTAAATTACTCGAAGAAAATTTTGTAAAAACAAGATTAAAAATAACTTTTGGGAAATTTTTTTGTTGTACATCCCCATTAATGTCACATGACATACTAAATATGGAAAATGTCCATGTATTTACACCAACAAAAAAAAAAATATACATGAAACACAACAGGTTATGCATATCAGATTTTGATGATTTCATTTTACTTAATGATTTTAAAGCGAAATATATTTCGATAAGATACAAGAATAACTAATATTTTTTTACAAAAACTGGCAGAGTTGCAAGGGAGGGAACGTACGGCCCCTAGACCATTAATATACGTCCCTATACTTTGGTTAAAAACTATTAATTACTATTATTATAATCAAATATTTTATTGGCATTATTATCTTCATAGTTACTACTACTTATAAGTTTATTTTTTTCTTTAGTTTTAAGTGCAATCCAAGTCTTTATCGCGCCTGTGGTTCTGTGATCGGGTTTTGTTGTTCCATTATAAAAATTTTCGATAGCCTTGGCTCCGATAACTTTTATTTTTGTTTCTTTTTTTAGATCGCTTATATATACAAAGAAAATAAATGCACATGAGGAAATTAATCGAATTTGGTTAATCACACAAATAAATCATGCAGGTCAGGTGGTCGTACGCATTAAAATTCTAAAAATAATTTTTGTTGCACAGCCCCATTAAATGCGTACAACATACAGGTTATCTGATTGATTATGCAGAGGGATTATCAAATTTGAATTTCTTCCTTTAACTCAACTATTAACCTCTGAGAAAGATTCTGTCAAATATATTAACGGACTTCCTTCCAATTTTCACGAAGAAGTCACGGTCAAGGGATTTATTGGAGGTAAGTACACTCTTATATATTTGAAGAGGTTATGGACTAATAGAGGCCTGCATGGATAACAATAATTGAACCCATATCCAACCCATACCCACATGATATCAAAATTTTGTACCCATACCCAAACCCATTTCTCAAAATTTTATATCCAAACCCAACCCATACCCAAAA